TTCTCTGAAAAATTGTCTATTCCCAAAAAGATTGGGTTGGCGATGAAATGCAACTTCAAAATAGTAAGGCTCCTATAGAGATTGGCAAATCTGCCTAGCTGATGTCAAATAATTTATGAACTTTTTAATTTTTGCCTTAGTATTAATCAAGTAAAATATATGGGGAAAATGTACATGAGCCAACAACTCATTTTGCAAACTGAGCTACCCATTAACATCAATAATGTGTAGGTCCATCTAGTTATCACATCGGGTGGTGTGACATCTTGTGCTTATGGGCAGCTCAGCTCATACGGGTTGCCCTCTATATATGAGAGACAAAGTTGCTTTTACAACTCTCAGGCTGCTTGCTGGTGTGCGACCTGTTACACGCATAAGGAGGCCTTTCACCAAAATGGGAATCGATTATTGCTTCTTTGCTATCTAATTATTTCATCATTATCGCCATCCAAATCTTTTCCCATCACATCACATAATTAAGGTCATAATCTTAGGATTAAGGGTCTTTAATTATGCCTTAATTAGGCTGTGTCCGGCAATCTTTTATAATCGGGTCAGGTTCAAACCTGACCGAGTTTTGAAAAAAAAAATGTGCTTATCAAACTTTGGGGCTAGCTATTGACCCTGTTTGTTATTAAGCTAAAATTTGTCCCCCCCTGTGGTCCAAGCTGGAACCAGTTCAGATTAGTACTGGTTCTGAAAAACTATTGGCTTAGTTGCCAAACAGACCTAGATTATACATGCGTTGTGTTCGTTTACTTAACTTCTAACTGTACCTTTTTCATGGCTTTTTAATTTGCATGAAAAAAAAAAAGAAAAGAAAAGAAAAGAAAAGAAAATCATGATGATGGATGTATCACTCTCTAGCATTTTTGCAACTTTTTGCAGGGCGCGTTTTATTTAGTTTTAAAGGCATCATTAGGTAGTTGATGCTCGTTAAGTATCGGTGCCTTTTTCAGTTTCTTTTCAGAACCTAGAAGTAGAAACTAATAAAATCCCTACTCTCATGAAATGTTCTTACGGTAACGATCTCGCAAACTATGGTTGCTGGCATAGTTCGCATGTTTCATTTTTCAGTTTATTACAGGATGAACGAACTAATTTCGCGTTTGAGAGACGCATCGACCTTATTTATGAGTACTTGGGGAGACATAAAGCTGTCCTTTCAATTCAAGGACGTGTTTTCCCTCCCATTTGTGTGCTCCCTTGTGTTTAATCAAGTTCTCTAGCGGTCAGGGGTTCAAATCCCCGTTTTCGCATTCACCTGGTTTATGTGGATTAAAGCTGAGAGCAGAAATCTGGAGTTTTACTGGTCAGTTAACCCAACCCGTTATATGCTTACCAGTTGGGGGCCTTTAGAGTCCTACGCTGATCGCCCATTCACGTGGGGATGAGCCCCTGGTAGCAAGGGTAGCTCCTTTCAGAAGGTGAGAAACTGAAGGATTCGAACTAGGACCGCTGGCGAACTCCAACGGAGTTAATGTTGGGAGAGCTGACCGGATTTCCCTTGTAAAAAAAAAAAAAAAAAAAAAATCTCTAGCGGTCGATTTCTTTCTCTCTAAATAGTCATATAAACCCCTCCAATTCAAACTATTTGCATTTGCTTTACCGCCTCCTCTCCTTCCAGTGATGCTACAAACAAAATCGCCATTAGACGGCAGCCATGAAACCCTCCGCCTTCAAAATTCTCTGCGCCTCCTCCTCTTCTGCCGCCTCAAAATCCTCCTCTCTTATCAGCACTCCATCAACTCCCTCCCCCTTCAACCATTACATTCCTCTTCTGCACAAGTCATCATCAAACAAATCCTTGACACAAACCAAGCAGATCCACCTCCAAATGGTTGTTGCAAACTTCCCTTACATTGCTCTTGGCAACAAACTTGTTGATTCCTACCTAAAGTCCGGAGCTGTCGACAGTGCCCGTCAGTTGTTTGACGAAATGCCTCACCCACATATAGTTTCTTGGAACTCTATGATATCTTCGTACATTCGTCACAAAAGAAACTCTGATGCTATAAAACTCTTCAAGAAGATGGTTCCAAAGGGAATATCTCCCGATGAATTCACCTTCTCATCGATTTTTAAGGCCTATGCCAATCTGGGTCTCGTTGCAGAAGCCAGAGGGACCCACAGGCTTCTCATAATTTTGGGCTTGGATGCCAAAAATGCATTTATCGGTAGCTCTCTGGTTGATATGTACTCAAAATTAGGGAGATTGGGAGATTCTCAAAAAGTTTATGATAGGATAGATGATAAGGATGTTGTTTGTTCAACGGCTTTAGTTGTGGGCTACTCTCAGAATGGAATGGATAATGAGGCCATTGCGATATTTGGAGATATGGTCAATTTGGGTGTGAAAGCAAATGATTTCACATTTTCTAGTGTTTTGATATCTTGTGGGAACCTTGGAGAGTTGAATGGAGGGAAATCGATTCATGGCTTCATGTTTAAATCTGGATTGTGCTCTAGGGTTGCTTCACAAACTTCACTTCTAAGTATGTACTCAAAATGTGGGCTTATTGATGATTCTCTAAAGGTTTTTGAAGGGATTGATGATCCAAATATCATTACTTGGACTGCTATGATTGGATGTTTAGTGTTCAATCGTAGAGAAGAGCTTGCTCTCACAATGCTTAGAAGAATGATTCATGATTCAATGACCCCAAACAAATTTACATTGTCAAGTGCTTTGAGAGGGTGCTCATCCCTTGCTTTATTTGAACAAGGGAAATTAATTCATGGCTTTGCTGTAAAGCATGGGTTGGACAGAGATAGATTTGTGGGTGCTGCTCTAATTGACACTTACGGAAAATGTGGCCATGTATCGATGGCCAAGTCTGTTTTTGATTGCTTTCAAAAGTTTGATTTGGTTCTAGTGAACTCGATGATCTATGGTTATGCTCAGAATGGGAATGCAATTGAAGCTGTTAGATTGTTCGATCAAGTATTGAGCTCAAATCTAGGACCAAATGATGTTACATATACCAGTGTTCTATCAGCTTGTAGCAATGCTGGATTAGTTGAAGAAGGCGATCGCATATTTTCACTCATTTCTAAGAAATCTAATGATCACTATGCTTGTATGGTGGACTTACTTGGTAGGGCAGGAAAACTTGAGGAGGCTGAACAACTAATAACACAAACCGATAACCCTGATAAAGTTCTTTGGAGAACTTTACTCGGTGCCTGCAAGATTCATGGCGAGCTCGAGATGGCAAAAAAAGTAGCAAGAAGAATACTTGAGCTTGATCCAAGTGACGAGGGGACTCATGTCCTGTTATCTAACATATATGCATCTCTTGGTCAATGGGATGAAGTTAGGCTCGTGAAATGTGCTATGAAGGAGATGAGGTTGAAGAAGGAGCCAGCAATGACTTGGATTGAGGTTGATAAAAAGACGCATACTTTTATGGCCGGAGATGATTCTCATCCGATGGCACCAGAAATCTTTAGAGAGTTAGAGAGGTTGATTGAGAAAACTAAGGAGTTGGGTTATGTTCCAGATACTAGGTTTGTGTTGCAAGAAATGGGAGCGATTGAGAAGCAGAGGTCTTTGTTTTATCATAGTGAGAAGTTGGCAGTTGCCTTTGGGGTGTTAACAAGTTTGGATAAGAGAAATAATTGTATTATGATTTTCAAAAACCTTAGGGTTTGTGGTGATTGTCATAGTTGGATTAAGTTGGTGTCTAGAGTTGTGGGGAAAGAAATCATTGCTAGAGATGCCAAGAGGTTTCATCATTTTAAGAATGGCTTATGTTCTTGTCGAGATTATTGGTGATAACAGAAATAAACAATTTTTTTTTCTCTCACTGGTTTCCAGGGGTTGATCTAAATGATCCAAAGATAAAAGAATCCTATTGTATATAAAAAAAAGGCTGTAAATTGTCAAAGAAATTCATTTTTTTCTTTATTTTTTCATAGTCTCTATTTCGTTTCTTGGAATCAAAAGGATTTCAAGAAGATGATGTGTGAGTGCCAGCATTTTTTGCCCCCTCCGTATGTTTCATGTATGAATTATTTTATAGAAAATTTTATAGTTGGGAAAAATATGAGAATCAAACCGCAATATGCAATAGCTTTTTCTCTTAGTTTGTGTATGTTTTCCTCTCTGATTGACTTCAAAAAATCATGAATTAAACAAGAATAGTCTCCTTTCTCTTAGTTTGTGTATGTTTTCCTCTCTGACTGACTTCAAAAAATCATGAATTAAACAAGAATGATGACTCCGCAGAAGATCTACTAGATTAAAACTATAAATTGCAACTTCCGTACTGGAGATATTGCTAATTTAGCATAGAATGGTAACAAAGGAGTCAATGGATATTAACAACTTGGGGGGTAAAAAGACCATACGAACTGCTTCATCATGTAGAAAAACATGGACTTGTAAGCACATATACACATATATTGATATCTGAACTGGAAATTTACACAGCCTCTTCAATCTGATTCTGTTCCGGAACAAAGGCAATTGCTATCAAAGTTTTAATGGCACATATATACATACATATACATTTACACATATGTACAAAGAATTAATGGATTTTAAATTAGGAAAGCATAATGGCATTAGTACAAGAGACAAATCTTCGTCATCTTCGCCTTCGACCCCAACTTGATACACTCAGGTCTCGATCATACATGCGTTGGATTTCCTCTCTGTACTCTGTTAAGGATTCGTTAGGGATAGATGGTGATAATTCCACAACATCACCCATCCTAAGCTTTTGGCTGGGATCATTTACTGGTTGATGGTTCAGCCTAGGCCTCAACTCCTCCTTCATTGGGAAATTGTTATTAGACCACCGTGGGCTCCCTCTCCCAATTCTCTCCAATAGATCCATTATTGTGGAGTTTGGTGCAAATTCCTGCACTGACATCTGAAATCATTGCAATTGTGTTAGTTACTTGAATATATAGAACAATAATCTGAAATCAGAACAAAGTGCTGGACAAGCAATTATATAATATCCACTAGACATCGACAAATTCCTGGAAAGGACAGAAATGGATAATGAAGCAGGCCAAGTACTTTAAACTGTAAGGAGCATAAAAGCAATAGATAAATCTAGTACAGAAATTTAAACTACAGAAAGCATAACATACTTAATACAACTTAACTATGAAATGGAAAACAAGAAGCTAGGATGGAACTAAGATATATCAATTTGCTTTCCTAAATAACTTAATAGATGCATGTTGTGATTTGAAAGATCCTAATCTTCCAGTCAAAAGGAGGAACGAGACTAACTATATTTGGAATATGGCTGGACAGAAAACTAGGTATAAGCCAACAGGATTAGTCACAAAATTGTCATTTTGTAGTAAAACGAACAAAATTAGGTATCCTAGAAAGATCATCTTAAATGTATGAGCCAATAGAAGTGCTAGAGCCATTAACAATTTACCATGCATGTTTTCATACACGTGGACAATTGAAAGACCTATGCTGGTAATCAGCAAAAACTGCACACTGAAACAAGCACAAGAGAAGAAAACAACAACAAAACTTTTAGCTTTTATCCCGAACTTTTGGGATGCCTGAACCCCTTTCTTTCTTTCAGTTAAGGGCCAACATTAAAAGAAAAATTGTTGAACTTTTGGGATGCCTGAACCCCTTTCTTTCTTTCTTTCAGTTAAGGGCCAACATTAAAAGAAAAATTGTTGACAACATACATTGGATGATCAAATGTTGTTTGGAAATCATCTGCCTGCAACATGAAGTCATGAAAAAGTGATCCATATCCTTTCAATAGGTTGCATGCATCATCGCAACATATTACAGGACGCATTCCATGAGACCCATGAATCAAGTATTTCAAATTTTTTGCTAGTTACTCTTTAATAGTTGTAGATGGAGTCCCCCCACCTAAATATAGAGGGTCGCCTAATAAGATTTCCCTCTCATTATATAAAGCATGCCTTTGACTTGTGGTTTTTCAAGTCTCTTCAAGCTCCTCTTATTGTAGATAAATTTGACTGAATATATCAAAAATGGATTTTTTTTGACTGAATACATAAATGCATATTAAAAGAATAACCTTTTCATTTTCCAACAAAATGACGAAGATGGGCCCACCATAATCACACCAAGGTATAGAAGAGTACGGGTACTCATTTAAATGGGAAGGAAATGGACAGAAGGGCGTGATAGATCCAGAATCTCCATAAGAAAAGGGTCGGTCAGCATTCATCGTCTCACACTGCCATGTCACCACCCATCTCGCCCACTCAACCATTTGGAGCACAAAAGACGAGTGCTGACAGTCACCTTCTTTATATCTCCAATGGGCAGCAAACCCACATTCTGCTTGTAAGTGCATTTCCTTGGTTCGTATCTGGACTTCCAACGGGATAGTATCTTCACTTGCAACAACAGTGTGTAGAGATTGGTACCTGTAAATGTAAATAAGTGCAAGCCTATAGAAACTAAAATCAGGCAATTAAAGAGTTGCAATTCAAATTAATGACATACCCATTGAATTTAGGATGAGCTATGTAATCTTTGACTCTTCCAAGGAGTTTAGGCCATAGTTGATGAACGATGTCGAGTGCTAAGTAACAATCTTCTTCTTTCTCCATTATTAAACGTAAGCCGTGAATATCATAAATTTCATCCATGGTTAAATTCTTCCTGTGAAAAGGTCAATATCATCAATTAACAAAAACAGTAGTGTGTTTATTTCTAATATAATATTTAGAAAATGTATTTGTGTAAACAGAGCCAGCCAGCCAGCTGTCATGAAAGCAAATGCAGATGACCGTTCCTTTCGCGTCATATATACAGATTTTCTTACATCAATCGTGAGAGATTATTAGTCAATTAGAAGCATCTATTAAATCTTCTACAGACTGCGACTGGTCACACAGTTTAATAAATGATTCATACACCAGAATTACCCAAATAATTTCATAAGACATGGAACATTAATTCATGTAATGCATCTGAAATTTTGAATAATGATGTTGCTTTTCAAAAACTCAACTTTTAGGCCTTTTAAGTGACATATTGGTGCGCACATAATAATAACTTACTAGTGATATGACTTCAATTTGAATTGATTTATCTGAATATAATTCACAAATGCTCCAATGTTGTCAAAACCTTTCCCATGGCTCCCAAATATTGAAATTGTAAAACTCAACTCTTATTGTGTGCCAAAGTTGTGGCAGTGACAGGCTACTAAAGGCAGTGTTGAATATCAAACTTGGGCAGAACATGCACAGACACCAACAAGAGCTATTGACATAATAATGCCTAAAAGGCTCAACAGGTGCCCTTGGGGCCTCAAACACACTTTAGTATGTACCAACAACATCCCAACAAAATAACTAGTTAAAATATCTTGGAAAGCATTTATGTATTTTACAATTTCCTCATTACTGATCCATCTCCAATTTTAGCAGCTTGACTAATATCTAAAATAATCTCTTCCTATGTTAATCTCGAGAAATTAAGGCCTGTTTTGCAACAACTGTTAGCCTGGAACTAAGGCTAATCCCTGCAAAGCACACAAAAATTACAAGGTTTAGTGCGTAGGAGTTAAAGAATAGTATCGGGCTGTTACTAAATTTTGCATATAACACCAGCAAAGAGACCCTAGGGTTATAGTTCCACCTCATCAGACATCAAATACCATCTTACTCTGCTTCTAAGAACGCACATCTACAAATTAAGTCTTCTAGCCAAATAGCGCCCAAAAGCAGCGACAATTAAAAGTTGATATTCCTTCATTTAACCTAAGTGAAAAGGCAGTAAATGGGAAAAAACAGGTGCATATACTTGTACAATATTGACAAACTAGAAAGAAGAGAGGCTACATACTTTACCATCTTGGAGTGGATGCTGTACAAGCTCTTGTGCCTCCCATATAATACATGATAAGAAATGCCTGCACGCTTGAGAGCTCGTTCTAGCTTCTCTATAGCTGATGCAATCATTGCTTCATCAAAGAATCTCAGAAGTTTGGAGGACAGCATTTTATGATGCTCAGGATAGAGATACTTAAAGCACAAATCTTCTAGCTTTTCCTTCCAACAAGAAATTCCTAATCGGTTAGCCAAAGGAGCAAAAACCTCTAAAGTTTCCTTTGCAAACCTCTGTTGCTTGACCATAGGCAAAGCTTCAAGTGTCATCATGTTATGGAGTCTATCTGCGAGTTTTACAAGTACAGCTCTGGCATCAGCCATTGCAAGGAATATTGTGTGCAGCCTATCAGCCTCAACAGTTTTGCTTGCAGTATTGTTTTCACGAGCAAGCTTGCTTAATTGGCTTAGCTTTGATACCTGCATAAATTGTTTAATAGCACTTGGCATTTCACATAAAAAAATTCTAATCCTCACAATCATGAATGATTTAGATCGAAGTAATCTCTATACCTAGTATTAGAAGCTAGTTCTTTAAACTACTGGTACAAATGTACATCCAAGGGAAATCAAAAAATAAAGATGAGAAACAAGTCTCAAACTAGTCACGCAAATCAGAAGACAGAAAATTATGGAAGGGCAGAAAAATAGAAGCTCAATGCTTGCATCATAATTCATCAAAAATTATGATCTACAAGCTAGTTTAGCACACTTCTGAATATTACCCAAGTTACTGGAGCTTAATATAGCCTCCTGGTTGCAAATTACATACACAATTCTCACATCCATGAAACTTTTTTTCCCTCCTATTTTCCCTTTTGTTGAGAGAATACTGGATAGGGCCGGGTGGTCCCCAAATTTGTCTCCACGGAAATGAATAGCAAACATTGAAGAAAAAGAAAAGAACTCAATAGACAAAGATACTAGTTTAATATTATTTGTCATTTGAAAACATTTTCCTTGGAGCTTTTCCATTTGACTGGTTACAGGTGAATCATTTAACCATCAATATGAGAATGCACCTTCTCACCTTCCTAAATAATTATAATTATCAATAATACCATAACTATTAATTGCTTAAAAATAATAAAATAAATTATTTATAAAATAAGTATACACAATTATTCGTAGTAAATAAATAAATTATTATGTAATTATTTATGAATTATAATAAAATAATTAAAATAATAGTACAAATAAAATAATATATTACTAAATACTACTAAGAATTATACTATAATTCAATAAGCAATAAAATAAATAGAATAAATTTTGTATCGCATAAATAGTGTAATCATTTTAATAATATCACATGAATTACAAATTACATTATTTATTTAGTATTATATTATTAAATAAATAAATTAATATTATTTTTAGAGTATTTTTTCAAAGATAATTACACGATACTGCATAATCTATATTTGGTAATGATTGAAAACTAACCTTTTTACAAAAAACTATTTAATATTAATAATAGCACTAAAAATTGTTAATGATAGTATATTAAAAATTTATAAAATATTTATAGCACTAAATTATTTAAGATCATAATTAAAAAAAAGTAAATTATATAAATATTTTATAGTATATAGATAGTATAGTTATTTTAGTAGTATCACTTGAACTAAGAATTATAATATTAAATAAGGTAATTACAGTAAACCCGCATGAACTTTCAGCATTTTGCACTAAATACTACTCTATGAACTTTCGAAATCGCACTAAACCCATAATAACTTTTGTAAAAAGCCCACAATATCTTTTAGATAAATTACACCAAACCCCAAATAACTTTCAAAATGCCTTTTTACGTTGTTTTCTAGTTCTAATTTATGGGGTTTATTTGCAAAATTTAAAAAGTTATTGGGGTCTTCTTTGGAATAAATAAGTCATTAGGGGTTTAGTATAATTTTGAAAGTTCATATGTGCTAAAAGTTTATAAGGTTTAAGTGTAATTTACGCTATTAAATAATTATAATAAGAAGCAATTATTGCAATATATTACAGGTATCAATTGTAACTATCTAAGGAACATCATGAAAACACAAGCAAGATTAATGCAGTTTAGTCAATTTAGAGTTAACAACTTTCAAGGTGGAGGAGCATATTTAAGAGAACTTATAGAATTGACCGTTTTATTTAGGAACAATTTTAGATTTGGGGGACTTATTTTAAAAAAAAAAGGTTAACATCGGGCGATCATTATAAGAAAAACATTCAATTATAATAACTACACAATAATAATTAATTCATACATTTCTTTTTAAGCAATCTTATTATACAATTTTATTTATTAACACACAATTTTACTATTCAATAAAAATTTAAAACATAAAACATGTATGTTCAAGTGCAAAGCACATGCATTTTACTAGTTAAATGAAAAGAAGAAAAACTGACCCCTTTAACAAGATCAGCAAGTCCAGCTCCAAACCTTCTGTGAATATAATCATAATCCATGTAAGAATCATCAAGCGTATCATGCAAAAGTCCTGCAGCAACAACCGTCACATTAGCACCAATCTTCGCCAACAAAAGCGCCGTCTCCACACAATGTTGCAAGTACGGATCACCGCTTGCTCTCATCTAACAAATCAAAATAAGCCCAGTTCATTCTTCAAAGAAATTATCAATAGAAAGAATCAATTTCATCTTATTTTTTAGATTCTTCAATCCCAGAATCAAAAGAGCCACTACCTAGGAAACATAACATTGTGCTTAAAAAAAGGAAAGAGAAATCAGCTATACCATACCCGAAAAAAAAACATTATAACTAAACCTAGTTGATTCTTTTAGCCCTAAACCAACAAATATGGCAGGAATTCGTTTCATATTTCAAACTGATTATCAATAGAAACGTCAATTTCAATTTATTTTGGACTCTTCAATTCCAGAATCAAAATCAAGAGAGAGCCAGAAATAAAATGCCAATTAAATTTCATTAACAAACCATATTAGGAAAGCATTAAAACTAAACCCACTTCAGTTTCTAGCCCCCCAAATTAACAGAAATGGCAAGAATTTTCAAAAAAAATGAAATATTAAAAAAATCTAACAAATTAGGCCTCAATTCCAAAAGTCCTCACCTGACCTCGATGAGCTTTCTCAGCTTCATAAAACGCCCTAACAACAAACTCCTCATTGAAAACCTTATGCCTCGATTGAGCCCCCACAAGCAGCTCTCTCACATAAGGCTCAACGCAGCTCCCCCCAAAATCAAACCCCAACTCCTCTACCTCAATCCCTCCCTCATAATCATAGCAAGAACCCAACGCACTCGCAATAAAACTCCTAAAAACCCGATCTTTCCCCGCCGAAACCCCAAACGACGACGTCGAGAAGCTTCTAGAAGGGCTGCAGGAATATGAGAAGGAGCTGGTTAGGGTCAAATCGGCGGCGGTGTCGTCACCGCCAAAGCTGACGGTGGAAGGGGGATTGTGGCGGGATGAAGGCGAACAAGGGGAGGAGGAAAAAAGGCGGGAAAGTCCGCCGGCGATCGATTTCGCGTTCGGGTGCGGATCGTGATCGCATAGGGACCCGTAAGCGGTTGAGGGGAGCGCGATCGCCGGGACTGACATTTTTTTTTGTTGTTTGGCAGAGAACACCCTGGAATTTTCGGAATCAGAGGGAGAAGGGGAACCTGTAATAAATGAAGGAAACTGGGGAGGATGAGGACGAAGGAGGATTCAAAGGGAAGGGGGATGCGTGAAGGAAAGAGAGGGTCTTTTTGGAGAGAGAAAGAGGGGAGGAGGAGGAAATCTCTCTCGTTTCTCTTTCTCTCTCTAGCTCTCTTTTTTGTCATTTGTCTCTCTTTCTCTCTCTAGGAAAGGTGAATACTTGCTTGTTGGTAAAAGGAGGACAGCGTGGAGGGCGCGGAAAAGAAAGCTTGACTTCAATGACGGAATTGGCCCCTCAATGATTAACGCAGCCCAGGCTTAAATTAAGACTTCAATTTGATAAGAAAAATGATTTAAGGACTTAAAATATGGGAGCAAGGAAGGGGACATGTAAGGTGTCCACTCCCTATTGTATAATGAGTTGGTCATGTCAACTCATGCCAACTCATTATGCAATAGGGAAGGGACACCTCACATGTCCCCTCCATTGATCACATATTTTGGGTCCCCGTAGCAGCACTCATTTGATAATTCAATCGTCTATAATAACTTTAGCAGTATTTATCATCCTTCATCCCTGAGCAAGAGAGATTATAAGTTATTTATCATTCTCAACATATAAATCTAGAATAATAAGCTTTAATGAATGAGTTGAATGTTAATAAATACTATTGAGGACATAAATGACTTATTACCACCAGTTTACCCTTTTTCCTCTTTTTTTCCTTTCACCTTTTTTAAGTAAAGAAGAGAACATCACATGCATTACACGAGGTACATACTTGTTTTATCTTCTTAACTTTTTTTACATAGGAAAATGATGAAGTGCTTGAAGGAAAAAGTAAAAAAATTTAAGTGAAGTGTTGGAAATAAGTGTTGATAATTAGTAATATGTAAATTTATATCATATTATAATTAATATATTGATATATGAATATTTTTTTACAACTAAGTTGAAATTATTAATTATGCTTAAGTTGCTTTTGCTTGTTATGATGGAAACAAAAGTATGCATATAAATATGAGGTGATCATTGCTAGATTATAATTGTTATTTTACTCCTAAAATTACATGTAATCGTAATAGTTTGTCAAAAAATAAGTCACCTCTTTCAGTGAAACACTAAAAATAATACTCCCCTCCCTCAAAATTTTTTCCTTTTCCTCTATCTTCTCTTACTGACAAACTAAGGTTGTGTTTTGCAATCTTGGAAAATTAGGTCAGGACTAAATCTGGCCTAATTTTAAGTGGTTTTTTGTATGGCAAATGAGAAGGTTAGAGCCGCCCTAATTTTTTTAGCCCAAAAATGACTAGTATCCAAGTTTTCTTTTGGACCAGAGGGGATTGCTCCAAAAGAAAATTGGTCTGGCACAAAATTGGGCTAGGACTGGTCGTGGACCAGTTTTGTATAGTTTGCCAAATACACCCTAATAAACAGAATTTGCTCCAAGTTTTAGGTCGATCATCTTGAAATTTCAAAGAGATTTCGTGAAACTCCCTAAATTTTAGGGGAGTTTCTCTAATTTTCAAAGTTCAAGAAGGTTTAGTAAAAATCACACCAAAATTCTGGATCTTTTGTAGACTTACACAAAATGTTTCATAATTGACATAACCAAGATGGCTCAGAATCAATTTCATCTAACATACATCAGGAAGAAGAAAAGGCAAGGCATTTTTGTCGTTTTGGAGCAAAGGAGTAAGAATTAAACTTCCTCAAAAATTTCTGATGCAATTAGTAAACCTTTGCAAAGTTCATTTTTTTGCGCAAAGGGTTAATGAAGAGTGATTAAGGAGAAGTATTAACATAGTTTGCCCACTCGATAATTCAAAGGACTAAATTATTAACCCATTATATAAGTTTTATTTTAACCCTTATGATCATTTTTAATGTTTGGGAATAACAAGGGTTTTAACTATTTTTTTATAATTAGAGGGGTTAAATCTTAATCCTTCTAAATAGGAGTATTAGTAAACCCCTCATTTTGAGGGACTAACTCATTTTAATCCCTCTAGAGGGGTTAGCTTAACCTTTCTATATATTTTGTATTTGACAAATTATAAATGTTTAACTCATATTAACCATTATATAGATTTCTTATGTTTGTCGGGTTAAGAAATGATTAAGTTTGCTTAACCTCTCACTTAACCCTTTGCCAAACAACACCTTTTTGTTTCCAAGCCTGTTAGATATGCCTCTGACATATTTCCTTTCATAATTTTTAAATTTGATATAATATAAATAGAAATTAAGGCCATGCATTTCTTTGAAAAAAATACAGACAAAAGTCATGAATTATGGAACGAAGCCGTTGAAAGTATCCTAGAGGGGGGGGGGGGGAATAGGGTAATGATAATCTAATTCGATATTAATGTCAATTAAAATTTTCTTAACTAATATATGCTAACAAAGAGATATATAATAAGATATGCAAGGATATATAACGAAATAATGGGCGAATAAACTATGAGACAATATACTTACAAAGAGATGTACAATAAATTACATGCAAGGATATACAAGGGTAAACAATATAGTGGGCAATAGAGATGAGACAAAAGGCAATATAAAAGTATGCAAGAAAATAAGTGCGCCAATGTCAAAACTCAAACACAAGTAAACGATCACGGAGTTCCTCGACCTACGTCTCCGCTCCTCACCCTCGAGGAGAATCTACACTATCTCAAAATCAAACTACACAATTGGTTTTCAATGCTCACCGACAAATATTTACAATACTCACAATTGTAATCACACAACACATTATCTAAGTGTTGGCCTAGCCCGTGTCAACTTCCTCAAGTGCTCAAAATTACAATCTCTCCCTAGGATTTATTACCAACGCCACTCCTCTTAGAATTGATCCCGTCTCTCACCAACCACTCCTCTAATTGCCTTTGTGTATTACAATGTGATCCCATAATAAAAGCTTAAATACAAAGTATTTGTTCTTTAACAAGATGAGAACTCAATTAAGCTCACACTTAAGGAATCACTCACCACAATCCAAATTACACTTAGTGTGAAAATACTAAAAGCTCAAAGGTTGTGTGTGTGTTCAATGAGTAAATGAAATCAAACTCAAAATTAATCTAGCAAATACAAATATAATAATTGAAATGTAAATAAGTTAGTTATTTGAGTTTAGAAACACTTCTCTAAGAACAAGTGAGAGAGATTGGAAGATTGAAAGCTCAAACCAAAATCGATCTCCTCTTCTTGTAAACCTCCTTTTGCATAAACTAAAACACAATTAAAACTTGAAACAAACTTGTGAAAAAACTCACTTAAACATTCATAAGAAATAAATGACAGATGAGGGATTTTTATAGCCTCTCAAACCAGCCAAAAAACCCACAAAAAAAAACAAAACTAGAAAAACTAGCCATTATAGGCTGAAAAACGCATATCAGTCGACTGATGATATCATCAGTCGACTGATAAAGTTGATCGTTGGCAGATTTGGCAGATTCTGGAATTTTTGCATAGCTAACATTTTACAATCAATTAAAATTAGCAAATCAACTCCAAAAATCATAAAGTTTTGTAGAAACTTTCTAAACATGTTGATAAAAATGTTAGAGAAAGAATTTCTAAAATATCACTTCTCATTTGTGAGAAATTACTATTTTAAAATAGATATTCTAGATTCTAAAAAATGTTAAAACACTTGATTTTGTAAAATCATTTTACAATAACAAATCAACTCCAAAAATGATAAAAATTTAGAAAACGTTTATAAACATATAATAGAACATGTTAGAAAAAGAATTTCTTAAATTTTATTTTCTATTTGTGAGAACTCATTTATTTTGTAAACTGTTTAATAATACAAAATCGTCAAACACTTGGTTTTTATCGTCAACACGTCATTTTCTCAAAACGATAAATACGTTATTTTCTAAAAAAGATGTATAATACGATAAATAAGAAACATATGCGCATGAATACGAATATATGTATTTGTTTTATATTTTTATGGCTAAAAGTAATCTATTAAAATATTTGTATGGCTAAACATATCTTTTTTGCAAAGTGAAACAACCAATGAAAACCATAAAACGAAAATGTGTATGTGTGTATATTTGAGCTTTAAGCATAACACATAAAGTATAAACACCCAAACTAATAGACTCAAGTTAAATGATCTCATGATGCTTGATCTTGAGCAATCCTCCTCTTCATAGTATGGATGAAGCAATAATGTGTTTGGCTTGAATGCATGGTGATCCATTCCAAATTACTTCCATCCTCCAATGAATATGATCGTGTAAACGCAAGTCCATCCAACCTCCAACAGAGGATGTTTGTGTAGATTACCTAACAAAACAAATGTAAATACACGACACACGATGTTAAGAATTATTTGTTAATCATCAAAACTAGCTAGATTAGATGGTATGTTCATAAACATGAGACCCAACAGCCATAAGAAGGAAAAAAGAACTACTGACATACTCTAATATCTTTCGATTAGTAAATATTTACAAATTATCTTTGTGACTCTACAATATTACACCACCACTCATCAGTATACGTGTTGGTTTTAATGTATTCATCAAAAATTTTATTACATCAATTAAAATGGCATAGCATAGCCGCAGCATATCTTAGCATAGAAGAATATCACTACCTATAAGATATGGACCAGTCAAAACTAAAGTTTAAAAAAAAACATAACGTCACATATTGAACTTTGACTTTAAAAATATGTACTAATAGCACACTGGAACATCAATCACTACCAAACTATAAGACATGGATAAGGTAAAAGCAAAAAGAGAAAAGAAACATATCTTTACATTTTGAGCATCTCATTTAAAGAGGTAACAATGGTCACATTCAAATAAAAAATTAGTAGTTTTGGAAGAGATTTACTGCTTCGTCCTTTTTTATTTTTCTTTTTTGACTGTGGAGAGGATTGATGAGAGGCAGCAAAGAAAGAGAGTAGGATTTTTTGGTGGACGTTTTTGGAGGTTATGATATTGTGAAGATGAACAGAGTTTTGAATTAAGTGTGAAATTGAAGAGGATTAAATCTCATAGAATATGCAGTGAAAATTTTGTTGGAAAAGGGGAGGCAAGCTTAGAATAGGGGTGAATACGATTACTATAACTTTTTCGGATAAACACAGAATATGCAGCGGAACATAAAATACAAAAAACTAAGAGTAACTTGTTGATCTTAATCCATCTAAATCATAATACACACACACACACATACAAGAACAAGAGCGGAAGCAATATCTAAATCCATGATGATCTGAATTGGGGTTTGATCTTCTAATCTTGAGGGTTTCTCCTTTAGATTTCTCTTTAGATGGGGATTAAGAGAATAAAGAACGTAACCCTAGATTAAGGACCATAACCCCTTATTTATAGATGTTGTGCATTTATAATTTGGCCCCTCATCGCATTATAATTACAACCTAATATCTGTACAATTAGCCCATGATTTAATTAAATACCCATTGACCCAAATTAACTTAATTGATCATTTTAGTGGGTTAACTTTACAGATAGCATTATACACTAATGTAACATATATGTCCACAAATATATTTAATCCAACAATCTCCCACTTGGACACTATATGTTTCATTAAAATGTGTATATCCGTATAAGCTCAAAAATTACTATCACAGATAAGAGTAGTTTCAAACAATCTCGTCCATTGACTATATTAATATATGATCAAAGTGGTATTCATCACATTTATCATAACTAAACCCATCAATGGTCACTTATATCAATACAATTAAATAAAATAGATCAATCGTGGATGTGCAACATGAAAATTACATGCAATGTGATATATACATGTCTATTTTTAACTGGTCATACTTTAAACTTTAGTGAGGTTAGAAACAAACATAATGTAACATAATGTATGAACTGAATACTTTATTCTAATCAGACAATACAAGCAAACATAAAACATCACAAATTATAAACTCCCACTAAATCATGATATTCTTAAATAATACCACACTCATATGAGCAGTGTGCTCATGAAAGACCTTGGGTGATAATCCTTTTGTAAGAAGATCAACTATCATGGAGTTTATCCCAATATACTCTACGGATATCTGTCCACTCTACACCCTTTCTTTCACAACTAGGAACTTAATGTCAATGTTTTTTGACTTAGTCGAGCTCTTGTTGTTATTGAAATACATAACTGCTGATTTATTGTCACAAAATAACTTTAGTGGTCTTTTAACATTTTCCAGAATGTGCAGTCCAGTGACAAAATTTCGTAACCATATTCCATGATTAGATACCTCATAGCAAGCTACAAATTCTGCTGCCATAGTAGAGAAAGCTACATGTATATGTTTGACACTTTTTCATGATATAGCTGCTCCTGCTAACATATAAATGTAGCCTGATGTAGACTTTCTGCTATCTTGGCATCCAGCAAAATCAGAATTAGAGTACCCAATGACCTCCAATTATTCTGATTTTCTGTATGTGAACTTATAATCTTTTATTTTTTGAAGGTACCTCATAACCCTTTTGACTAGTATCCAATGGTCCATACCAGAATTGCTTAAATATCTGCCTAACATACCAACAATGTACGCAATATCCGAACGCATACACACCTGAGCATACATTAGACTTCCTACAACTGAAGCATAAGGAATCTTCTGCATTTCTTGAATTTTAATGTTACTTTTAGGGTACTGATTGAGACTGAACTTGTCTCGTTTAGCAACATGGGTGTCACCTGGTCTGCAATTTTGTATGCCAAATCTTTTGAGTACTTTATCGATATAGCTCTTTTGTGATAATCCAAGTGTACATCGAGAATGATCTCGATGTATCTGGATTTCTAATATAAAAGAGGTGTCCCCAAGATCTTTCATCTCAAAATTCTTTGCTAGAAATCTCTTAGTTTCGTGCAACATGCCTATATCATTAGTGACAAGCAATATATTATCGACATACAGAACTATGAAAATATACTTACTCCCACTGAACTTGTGATATACATAGTCATTAACAATATTTATCTCAAAACCAAACGAGATAATTATTTGTTGGAACTTGTGATACCATATTGGTGAGGAGCTTGTTTGAGTCTATAGATGGATTTTCTTAATTTACAAACCATATTCTTCGGGTCTCCGGACACAAACTTTTCTGGTTGCACCATATAGATCATTTCATTAATGTTTCCATTGAGAAACATTGTTTTAACATCTATCTGAAGTAACTCAAGATCAAAGTGAGCAACAAGCGCCATTATTATTCTAAAAGTGTCTTTCGATGAAACCCGAGATAAAGTCTCTGTATAATCAATACATTCCTTTCGAGTATAGCCTTTAGCTACAAGGCATGCCTTATACCTCTTCATATTACCATTTGCATCCTGCTTGGTTTTAAATATCCATTTACAACCAATTGGTTTTGCATCTTCTGGTAATGGAACATGTTTCCAAACCTTATTGTCTTGCATAGGCTTGTACTCTTCATTCATAGCATCAATCCATTTTTGAGAGTTAGAACTTTTTATGGCCCGATGGAAATTGATTGGATCATCTTCCATCATTCTATTATTTTCCTCATGCTCTTGAAGAAATATAATACAATCATCTGGAATAACATTTCTCATTTCTCTCATGGTGTAATGACTGTGAATTTTAATACTAGTTAAAATAATTTTCTGGTATTTTAAATATTTAATTATTATTTTTAAAAAAAGTGTATTTTTATTTTCTCGATTTACTAGAATTTTCTATGATTTAAAAATCTAAATTTTATTTTTTGCTTAAATGATTTTAATATTTATAAATTACTTTAGTGTAGTAAAAATTTCTAGAATTCAGCCGTTGTGTTATCGATATTATTATGTATTATTTTGAATAATAAGTTGTATTATATATGAGAAATATGGGTATGCTTGGTACCAAGCATAAAAAGTTGTGCTTGGTAGTAAGGTGTCACATCTCCCTCCACTCATTCAAATGTGGGACTACATTCACATGAGTAATGAGTGGATGGGGATGTGGCACATCATTACCAAGCACAAAATTTATGCTTGGTACCAAACATACCCATATTTCTCTCTCTTTATATATATATACTAGTATTTAAACCCGTGCAAAGCACGGATCCTAAAAGATTTTCTACAAATATTAACATGTTATCAAAATAATGTATTCTGCTTTAGATATTAAGTATAGTAGTGGAAGTGAACCGAATAATTAATAAACAGTTTGGTTATTATTCGTCTAGATATTCGAGCAAGTTCGATTCGATAACTACTTCATTAACCAAAACTTTAAAGATTAAATAACTACTCAAAACTGAAATCGAAATAGCACAATTAAGACCAATTTTTTCAGCGCATAAATGCGTCACAGTCTGGTTGCAGCATTAAAGTCAGCCTGAAATCAACTAATTTATCTAAAGTTTTATTCAAATACTAAATCATTCCTACATCTTAAAGACCAATTTACGCTTGCAAACTGAAAATAGGAGATATGTCTAAATCATTGTCATGACAGTATTCTGTACATCATGCAGTTTCTGTCTTTAGCCACTAAATAGGAGATACGTATAGCACCTCACCCAAAACTTTGCTCCACAGTAACTCAAAACGCTAGCAGCAGGTTTCCTTGAAGTCCCCATACAACATTCTGAATTCCTTTTTGTACAATGTTTTCTCCGAGCTGTTTAATGTTGTGCATCTCTCAAGACATCATTTCCTGCATTAATTTTCTCATCATAGATGCAAACTGACTATAATCTGTCTGCCCATCCTGCCGTTAAGAGAATTGATAAGAATTTTTCTATACGCGATGCTAGAAAGTTTTGCATTAGCAGAGACACATACATTGTTTTGGTTTATCTCTTGGATCATTTCATCAAGATTGACATTGCTGATGCCCAAATATGTACACGCTTGTGAGAGATCATTGATGGTGATGTAGCCATTCCCGTCTTTGTCAAAGAAGGAGAAAGCATTCCTCAAGTTCTCCTCTTTCTCTAACTTATTCAGGTGAAGTGTCGCAGCAAGAAATTCATTACGGTCTAGTGTTCCATTATTGTCCATATCAACATGTACACTATTAAGACAATGGATTCATTATCATAAAAAAATGTAAAAAATGGAAAATCCTATAGAGGCCCCTCTCTTCAGAGTATCATGTACTGAGGACTGTGAGGATGACACTTGATGATATATGTGTCAGCACAGTCATTATTATCTATTCGTGCATAAGTATTTTGAATCCTAATGCATACCGCATCCATAAGAGCCTGGATTTCAGAATAGATCAGATCCGAGCCTAATTTTTTCAAACCCTCCTTTAGCTCATCATATGTTACTATCCCAGTATTGTCTGTGTCGAACATTTTGAACAGTTTAGGCCCCCTGTCTCTTCCTCAGACATCCTTTCTGCTATAACCTGCAATGTAGAGCAGATAATGCATACCCAATGTGTCAACTACCATAATAAATCCTCAGGAAAAAGGTCTAAGAAACAATTGAATATATATATATATATATATATAGACCTGATAGAACATTGAAATTCATTAAATAACATTTTCTTCAACTGTTCAATGATTCTTTAATATATTTAGACCATAGATTTAACAAACCCTTTTTAGGCTTTCTTAATCAATCTGAGCATGTCTTGAAGCTCAAAACTTTAAGCAGAAATCATAAGAATGAAGCTAAATTCCCCTAAAAATGAAGACTCTTGCCACTCTCATAATTAACACAAAAAGGGGGCAAAAATCAACCTTATAGGTCCAGAATTTATTTAAGTGAGAATACTTGTAGGTTGTAGGCTTAGGAAAAAGAGTGCACTCGACTGCAGAACAAAAAGCAATAAGCTTGCAATAAGTTTTATAGTTGAGTTTCTCGTTGCATCAATACTTGATTGCAGTCCAATGTATTTGCAAAAAGCAATTAAATCCTAGAGAAAGTCACATTTTTCAATCAGTAAAAGATTAATATAAACTATGGTAAAGAACCATTTTGTCCCGAAATACAATTACCTTTAACTTTAAATGGGAAACACCAAAATCATCTACTGCAGAGACCATCCATAGAATTCCCTCACTGAGAGCTTTTGGATTCTTGTGCTCTTTCATAATTTTGTCGAGCTAACATATAAGCAAAATGGCCAGTTAAATATAAATATTGTTCAAAACTAACTGCAACTTCACTGCATGAAGATAAAAGATGCTGACAAAACATAAAGTTAGTATCACATGTTAGCAACTTGCAACATAAAGTTAGTATCACATGTTAGCAACTTGCAACATTCTCACAAATTCCTGAAAAGTAGAATCTAAATTAAAAAAATAAAATACAAATAAATGGTAAATTTTTACGAAATCATCCATCGAGCAAAAAATGTCTATTGAAACAAATCACAAAACAATCATCAAAAGTATTAATACTTCCTTCTTTTTGCTGTTTTATATTTTATTTCCAAATAAATAACAGATTTAGATATTAGATCAAAATAAACAAACTACTCCCAAATTATTTAAGATAAATTTGACAAAAAATTAAAAATAAATTAACAGATAGGAAATGGATCACACCTTCTTCAAACTGCGGAAGATTCAGATGAATCATCGATTGCTGCCGCCTTTGCTCTCGTGCTGGATCGAAGATGATACCGAAGCTTGTCCCAAGGAAACCGCTGAAAAAATCATCCAAAAAAATCAGAGAAAATAGAAATTAAAGTAAAATACCAATTGAATCAAAATTCACACAGTCAATCACAAATTTTGAATATTTACCTCTTTCACTGAATGAAGAGAAGCGGCGCAAGCGAGAATTTCTAGCATCACTTCTTCCAATCAATAGGGATTTCGAGGATTGGGAAAGAGAATTTATCAGCAAAGAGGAAATTATACCAACTTGAACTCCTATTGAACTCAACTTTGCGTCACCAAAGCTCAAAAAGGCGACAACTTTGCAGCACCAAAGTGCAAATTATCCTAACTTGAACTCCTTAAACCGCAACAAAACTACCAAAACCCCTAAGCTATTATCTGTTTATTAGTAATGATCTCTTAAACAGTGTTGCAGCCTGGCCCTTGTTAGTCCACACTCTTGAGACAAACTGAGATTTTCATGTCGATTTTTTTTTTATTCAAACTAAAACTTCCCACAACGTCTATGTTTGGTTCAAATTATCAACTCATATTGCGACTGTTGAATTAAGTTAAACTACAAAGATAATGAATATGGTAGGCCAGAAGCCCTGATTCACATCAAACACCAATCCTTTGTATTGATAGTTAATGCACACCCACATAAAAACTTTTTAAATGCCTATAAAAAATCTGTCGAAAATTTAAAAAATTGCTTTGGGTTAAAAAATGCATTCCCTTGAATCGATTACCAGAAACTTGAAAAGAAAAAAGGAAAGAAAACCATGATAATTGATGAATAAATGCTGTAAAACATCAAACAAAGGCAGAGAAAAATTCCAAAACAGATATGAATTCGTCGAAAATAAGAAAAAAAATCTTACGGGGATTTTGGATGAGAGCTCAACGTCGTAGTGGCTGAAAATTGAGAGGGCGAAGAGGCAATCGCGAGAGTGAGAACATACTTTGTGCTGTAAAACATCAAACAAAGGCATATAAAATTCCCAGAATAGATATGAATTCATCAAAAATAAGAAGAAAAAATTCTTACGGGGATTTTGGATGAGAGCTCGATGTCGTAGTGGCTGGAAATTGAGAGAGCGAAGAGGCAATCGCGAGAGTGAGAACATAGTTTGTGCTGTAAAACATCAAACAAAGGAGAAAATTCCCAAAATAGATAAGAATTCGTCGAAAATAAGAAAAAAAAATCTTACGGGGATTTTGGATGAGAGCACGACATCGTAGTGGCTGGAAATTGAGAGGGCGAAGAGGCAATCGTGAGTGAGAACATACTTTGTGCTGTAAACATCAAACAAAGGCAGAGCAAATTCTTAAAATAGATATGAATTCGTCGAAAATAAGAAAAAAACTTATGGGGATTTTGGATGAGAGCTCGATGTCGTTGAACTCCACTCGGTTTTAAGGAACTCCGAGGCCCCAAATGAACTGCGATCATCAAGTCAAATCATCGAATTCGATCAGATCGTAACCCTAACCCTAGAAATTTAATTAAGATCGAGAGGAGAGGGAGGACCTGATTCATGACGTCGGGGTTCGCTTCCAGAGGAGTCAATCGCTTTTTCGAGGGTTCCGCTATTTGATAATCTCGATCTTTAATTTTGGAGAAAGGGTAGGGAATGCAGCGAAGGACGTGAGAGTTACAGGTTACGGTGGTTTATTTTTGAGGAAGACGTGGAAGATTTTTTTTAGGAGAACGTGGGCAGAGATGTGTTGGATTTTTCTATTTTATAACTGATAAAAAACCAATTTATGGGCTTCATATTTTATTGAGGGGATGAGGTGGCTCCTTCTGATTGGACCACCTAAGATTTACTATTCATAAAAGCTTTTCATTGTTCTCCTTTAGTAATAAAGAAGTAGATATATATATATAATAAACTGACGGTATGAATATATCTGATATAGTAGCACTATTATATACTATATACTAATATATATATATCCTAATTACTACCATATATCTACTAGGGTATCATTATGAAGAATTACATGGGTATTCATTGTCATGACGAGTGGGTATTTCCTCCTATGACGGGCCTCTAATAATCACATGATTGGAGCGACATTTGATGGATCCACTCCGTTGAACTTGATCTATAATTCTAAAACTTCAACACATCAAGTTTGGGATGAACCCGTCGTCGTTTGACGCCTCCATCGAGCCATGTGAAAAGTTCTAATTCATCCTCAAAATCGTTAAAGATTGATACGAGTGGATGAAGGGTCAAACGCAAACGGGTTCACCCCAAAGCTTGGTGTGTTGGGGTTTTAGAATATATAGATCAAGTTCAACGGAGCCGGATCATCCACAATGTCGCTCATTCAATGTGATTTTAGAGGACGTCAAGGAGGAAATCCTTCCTATGACAAGGATACCCATTAACTCTCTCCTCTCTCTATCTATATATATATATATATATATACTACTATTATTTACCCACATTAGTAACACATATATCGCTACAGCCCTAACTATATTATATTTACATAGCTGGAAGAGAGAGAGAGAAGAGAGAAGAGTAAAGATTGCTCATCAAACTTAAGTTGATGTCCACCCAAAACTTCCTCAAAGTCACTCTCATTTCATGTTCAAATATTTAGTCTGAGCATTGTTATCCATAGCCGGCAATGGATTAATTTGAGCTTTGTCAACGTGACGTGGCGCCATGCAAAGAGTAAGAAAGAGTTTATCCACGGCATAGTACGACTTTGGGATTATCTAAAAATAATGTCATTTTCGCAATGTGCTATAAAAAGAAAATAAAGAACTAACGAGCTATATATTAAAAGAAAAATCAAGTTCATTTTGCCTAATAGGAAGATAATGGATAATATTACACAATTTCCATCTGTAGTAAAGACAAGATACAAATTGCCAAAAGAGAAAATGAATAAAACAGACAACGTTATGTCTAGTTTATATTGCGAGAAATAAATTAAAAAGAATTTTTAAAAGATTTACGTGTTAGGTGCAAATTTCTAGGTTTAGGGTATGTTTGTAAATTTTGTAAAACTGGGTCAAGTCTAAACTTCGTCCAGTTTTAAGACTGTTTTCTGATTGGTAAAAACTAGGCTATAAATGACCCAATTCTTTTTAGTTTATTTTTTGGAGCTTAAACGAGTTTAGTTGTGGATCAATGTGGAGCTGGTCCACAACTAAATTGGTTCTCAAAAGAACCACTTTGAAAACCCAGTTTTGCCCAGTTGTCATATAGGCCCTTACGTTTAAAGATTGTTTGAGGCTGTAACAACTTGTATTTGTGTTAATGATGGGTAACCAAACAGTCAATATATTGGGAATGAGGTTGATTAGGGATCGCTCACTTCTCCGAATATCTGGTCTTGAGTTTAGTAGCTTTCAGCTTACACAAGTAGAAAATCGTTAGGGGACGGGGTTTGGTTCGCCCGTTATACCTCTGACGATCAAGTTAGCTCGTGAACTTGAGTGGGGGAAATGAAGAACTGCGAGTGTTCTTGTGTATAGTACAGTATAATTAGCAGATATTGCTTGAAAAAATAGTTTGTAAATAGCTTAGAATAGTCTTTTTGCAGGAAAAAGATCAAATATCAAGATCAAGAGCATTTAAAAGTCCCTTTATGTTGAGAATTGTACTTCTATTTATAGAGGTGCTGAAAGGGTAGAATAGTCACTTCGGTCGAGTACATGATGGCAGTATGTAGGTATGAGTTGGCGGCTGTGTCAGCACCTACTTTACACGTGCCGGTCGGCAAGTGGAGGAGAGATCGTACCTCAGCATTAAATGAGAAATGATCGGAGGCATGGCGGTGCTGACGTGGTCCGATGAGTCATGAAGACTATCGGAGCTAGATGTATGATGCACCTGCCAAACATTAAATGCGACGCCAACGTGCTGTCAGCGAGAGAGGCTCGGAAGTTGTCTTTTAGCTTAGCCGAGAAGTAACGCCTTTCGAGTCAACTTCGCGAGGCGTCGAATACCTGATCGAGTCGGCTATGTTGGGATCCTTGGCTACTTTGACCGCCAATCTGACTTGAGCGGTGCATGCAGGGGGGACACCTATCCGTTGCTGACAAATGGTCATAATTTGACGACTGAAAACACCATAACAATTAAAGAATTTAAAATTTTGGAATTAAATTTCATATATAAAAACAGGAGAAGGAAAACAAAGTATTGAAGTACTTGCTAAGAAAACAATTAAGACAAAAATACTAAAAAAATAGAAACATTAATGTGGAAAAGTAAACAATATTGGCCTTTGGACTGTGTGCATTAACTTCTTAATTTACTGACGCCAGGAACTAAATGTCTTTACCGTAACTGTCTGAAAGTCTTTTTACTTTGCGAAATTAAAAAGAGAGAATAAACAGGTTAAAATATCAACAACAACCACTATAATATTAGGAAACACATATACTAAGGATAATTTCGACTTGTGATGCCTCTAACCTTAGTCCCATGTCGACTAGGCAGGGGGCATTTGAAAATGTTTAAATAGAGAAATATGGGGTTTAAGTGTAGCATTAGATAGTAGTTTGAGCTAAGCAATGCATTATATTCAGTGAATCACACGGTTTACAGCACATCAACTAGCTTGCAAGCCTATGATATGACAAGTAGTATCAGAGCAGTTGATCATCCGGAAGTATGGAGCTAAGTGCTATGTGGGGCTAAATATATACTACACTGTGTGAATGCGGTGGGAGTTGCCGCAAGAGCTTCTAGGAGCCACCACTAGAATCTATATTGTTTGACCGTGATAGATGTGCTAGTTGTCATGTCGTGACAAGGATGTCTCATATTTAAGATGGAGTGATTGTGATACCCCTAGCCTTAGTCTTGTTGCGCGCAGCGGAAATTTTGGCAGCACTTCGGCAGCACAACAAGAGAGTCAGAGCGCAATAAGAATTTCCGTCTCACCAAGGAAACAAGAATCTGAAGCGAATATCTCAACAAAGTAAGATATCGGCTCTTCCTCTCATCAGTTCTAGGACTGACCTGTCGAGGGATCCTAAAAGCTATTACAAATCACACAAAAGCGATACAACCAATTTTTACGTGGTTCGGCAAATTGCCTACGTCCACGGGGCAAAGAGGAGGGAGATCTACTAATAGAGGGAGAGAATATAACTAGGGTTTACAATCACTTAATCTAAACTCTCACACAAACTCTCAAATCCCTCACAATATCTCTCTACAAAAGGATGCACAAAACCCTCAATAAAGGGGACTGCTCAAAACCAAAAACAAGAAAAACAACTGCGTTTTTACCCTCTGCACCCTGCCTGCGCTTCTGTTTCGCAGCCACTTTTAATAAAAAAAGCCAAAACCTCCTTGCTAACCTCCTGCACCCCTAAAACCTAATAAAATATCATTTATATAGGCAGCAGGAGAAAACGCGTGCCTGTGTTGAAAACGCGGCTCAAAATCAACTTCGTGGGCCTGGGCCTTATCAGGTCCGTTCACAAGTCTCACATCGACTGTGGAGTGGGCATTAATCGTTTAAATAGATAAGCATGAGTTCAATTGTAGATTTGGTTAGTCAATTTTGGCACTGATTTGAGCTAAACTACGCGTTATACTCAATGAGTCTTATGGCTTACATCTCGTCAATGGGTTCATGGACTCGGAGCGTGACCTTTCTTATTTTGAAATTCAAGCCTAGGAGGATAATCTATTTTCATATCTTTGTATAAAGTTTATACTAGCGTCAAATATCTCAATGTGGTCTTGTATAACTTGATAAAATCATAGTCGTTTTTTTCGTCAGAACTATAAAAACTATTTTAGAATAGAAGCTCTATTTTACTTTTTTGTATATGACGAAAGACTGAACACATTTTCTCCATAGTCACTAGTCTTTACTAATGTTTATAATCGATTTAATTCAACATTTATATTGCATACATCTTTAATTACCCTTTTGCAATTGATAGATAATAGACACCCTTAAGACAAATATATTCTCAATCCACCAGAAAAAAAAGGAGAAAACAAAGAAAGGAGGCCTAAAATTTCGACTGTTCTTCTAGAAGCGATGCCGGTTTGAACTAACCATAAAGAAGGACCCTTCAACTATATGGACCCAATTGATTTAAGATAGTTGTTATATGCAAGTGGGATCCTCTCCTCATCCTAATATCTCCTCCTGGGGAGAGGGAAGAGCTCATGAGGAGAGGAAAGAGGTGGGAGGGGGGCCCACAAGGATGAGTGACAAAATGAAAGGTCATGATCAAAATAAAAGGCCAGGATCTCCTCATGAGGAGATATTAGAAATTCCTCATGAGGAGAGGATCTCAATCCATATATTTTTTATACTTATTCTAATTGTATTGCGTCATCAATTGTTGCTTTCTAGGAAACTGTCACGAATTGTCGGTAAAGACTCGGAAAGAATAGCTCTCTCATCAACACATCATTTAGGGTGCCTTTGAAAACTCATTGAAAAGAAGTTTGATCCTGTAAAAAAATAGTAGGGATACTACTATTTTTAATATTAATATTTGATTATGTAGCAGATAGTTGTGATACATTCTAAATGTAACACTCACCGCACCTTGTATATTGCACTCATGCCTAATTCACACTCAAAGAAAAAAAATCCTAACTGCCAAATAGATAATCAATACTTGTGACTTAGTAGCCGTCCTCCACTACTTTTTTGATAGTGAAGAGGATCCAAATCTATTGAAAATGGGCTAAGATTGACCTTAAAGCTGCTTCTATT